GAGCTTGCGGTTCACCACCATGGTGAGGAAGTCCTCGTAGCTGAGCCGGGCCGTGCCCGCCCGCGCCGCGTCCCGCTCGCGGAAGGCGTCGGTGCTGCTCTGCAGCTGCATGCAGATCTGGATGAAAACGTCCAGCTGGATGCTGGGGTTGGGGCTGCGTGGGGCATAACGGGCCAGCAGCAGCTGGCTGAACTGGGGGCTCAGGTTGTAGCCCATCTGGGAGAAAGCTGGGAGGGAGAAACAGGCGGGTTAAACCTCCCCGGCGGGAGGGGGAGAGGCCGCGCCCACCTCCGTGCCCACCTCTGTGCCCACCTCCCCCCTGCTGGCACATCTCCCCAGGGAGGAGCCAAACCAAGGCAGGAATTCCACACATTCCTCCCCTCCACCAGACCCACCAGGCCCAGGAGTTCCTCTCAGAACACAGGCTTCAGCCACGTGCCACCTAAGAGGGGCCCTTTGGGTTTCCTTACGGAAGGAAGTCGAGGCCACAGCCCTGCTGTGCCTCCTCGTCTCCTGCCCCACAGGAAGGCTCAGCACCAGCTCAGCACCAGCTCTGCCCCAGCCAGTTGAACCAGCAGAGTGTGGCCCAGCACAGCCAGAGGCATGGACTGAGTCATGGCTGCACGGGAAGCACCAGGGAGCTCCCAGGGGTGGTGCCGGGAGGAGTCACTGCTCCCAGCTGAATGTAGATGCCAAGTGCTTGCCAGACAGCTCAGGGAGGGCCAGGTTGGGGTCTCTGCCCCTCAGCCCACCTTGCTGGAGCTCGTTGAAGCTGATGCAGCCCAACTGGTCCCTGTCATACTGCTGGAAAAGGTTCTTCCACTGCTGGATGAAGCGCAGCAGGGCCGAGAAGCCGTAGACGTCGATGCGCCCCGACCTGGTCTTGTCAAACATGTCTGGGGAGGAGAGGACAAAGGTGGGGAGCAGGGCAGTGAGGAGGGGAACAAGGACACGCCACGCAGCTCCCAGAGCTCAGGATCTCCACTGCAGCTCCTCAGCACCCAGCTCCAGCCCCAAACCCTCCCTCCCCAGGGCTGCCACCCGCCGGGACCACTCCAGCCCTAAGGATCCTCCCAGCCCTGGTAGGAAGCGGCACCAAAACCCAGTGCTGGGGCAAGCAGGGGAACAGGGTGACCCTGGCTGGTCACTGGGGCTCCCCCTCTGCTCTGGGCCTGGCTCTCTGGGCCTCACAGAGCTGGGTGCCCTTTCCCAGGCAGCGTTCTGAGCCTCTGACTCACGCTCAGAGGAGAGGGACCTGGTGGGACAGGCAGCTGAGTAAGCCAGCAGTGTGCCCAGGGGGCCAAGGGCATCTGGCTTGTACTAGCAACAGTGTGGCCAGCAGGACGAGGAGGG